CTTTCCTCTGGTGCTTTAATGCTTCCTCCCGCCACTACAATGACCCTACCTTACAAATCTGGCTAGACCAGAGCATGTACATGGATACAGGTAAGAGCTGAATAATTTTTTTTTTAAATAAGTAACTACAGCAAGCATGGAGAGGTAGAGTGAGCTTGTTAGATTAAGAAACGAAATTGTATTTTTTCATGGATTTCAGGGGAAGTTTTCAGTTAACTAAAGATAAGCCGTGACTTCTGTAGGTTTAAACCCTCACTACTAAAACGTCTCTATATTACATTTCACTAAGTACAAGGCTATGAGTCAGAATCTTACACGCAGTCACGCTGACACCCGAGGATGTTCCTTTCCCTGCAACGAGAGGATAGCTCGAAACTGTGAATAACAGTTCAGTTCTGCCTAAATTATGGTTTCCCAAACTGACTCTTTACACCACAGAGAGAGAAATGGAGACAGACATAGTTCTTCAGACTCTGCCACTCCTTTCCCCAACCCTATCATCCTGCCACATTGCCCTGCTCCTAACAGGTTGAATTCAATGATCCTTTCCACCTTTTCTATCCATTCCCTCAGTCTAAAAACTCTTGTCATCTAAGCAATTCTTGCTCTTTCTTAGGTTTCCACTCAAACCAGGCTGACTCAAGGAAATGAGCTCTGATCTCTCAGGAGGAGTTAGAGCTCCCCAATAACTTCGACGTATATTTCTGAAGCAGGGACTCCTTGTATATTCCAACACAATCACTGTGTTTTCAAGTAGAAAGTACAACTATGGAGTCAGACAGCCTGGACTCAAATCCTGGGCCTGACTCCCTTGGGTAAGTTCTTTAACCTCTCTGGACCTGGTTCCCCATTTATAAATCAGAATATTAACTTATACCCAATAACATTTTTGTTAGGATTTAAAAACTTTAACGAGAACCCCTCGTATATAGTAAACAGATAACATGTTGTTGCTATGACTTACTGAGTGAAGAAAAGGACACATAAGAGAAAAAGAGATGTAGAAGGCTTTCAGTTGTTACAGCAGAGCTGTCCTCCAGAGAAGCGCTAACCCATGCATGGTACGTGAGCTTGACCCGTCTGTGCAAACGTCACACCGGGGCCACGGTGGAGGAGAGATGCAAGGTCAGCCCACAGGGAAGCTGGCCATGTGGAATGACGAGGGCCAAGCCACGGCAGGCTAACGATCGCCAGCCACCGCCAGAAACCAGGAGAGCAGCGCGGCGCCCTCAGTGAGAGCCAGCACGGCAGACACCAGCCTCTAGACCCAAGAAAAAGCCCACTCTGTTCTCGAGTGGCAGCCTGTCTGTGGTACGTGCTACAGTGGCCCCAGGAAATGAACACAGGAGCCCTAGGAAATGAACTCCCTGCCTATTTGGGAACTTACTTTTTTTTTCACGTTCAGACATAAACATCACCGCCATATCAAACCTTTTTAGTTCAGACAGTCTTTGTAAGATTTCAAAGATGAGTGATGGATTTTCTTTCCTGAAATAATCCAAATATAAAAACAAATTATTCATGAAAGGTAGATTATCATTCTGTTTGCCATCATACTTCTAACTATGCATAAATAAGGCATTCGATGCTTACCTTTTTGACCTTAAAGCCTGTCTATGTTTTAAGTTCCCAGATC